TTTCACACTACCAAATAAAATTTAGTAACAAAGATAATTCTTTTCTGATGTGGAGGATCAGTTTACCAGCAGCGGTGGGGCGGCTCCAACAGTGGATAAAAGGCGGAAAAAAAAATTCAAGATAACCTTAAGCTCTAGATACCATGTTGAATATAGAGAAAATAGGGTTTGGAATTAAATTTCCTTGTGTATAAATCACACATAGGGTGATCTATTTATAGTAGAGAGATACAACTAAAAGAGTAACTGAAAGTAACAGAATAAACAAAAGATATTGTTTGATATTGTGGTTACCAATATCTAACAATATCTTAACAATATCAAAACAATATCTAACATTTATATGTCTTTTTAATTGATACCCCTTCTATTTCTAATATATAATTTAAGATTTTACAATACAAATAAATAAAAATATTATTTTGTATCATTTTCAATATATTATTTTTAATAATATTTTTATTATTTTAATATTTTCTTCATAAAAATACTTATAATAATTTATTATTTTATTCTCTACAATACATATAATAAAAAAAGAATATAATTAATAAATATAATCTTAATTTTTATAAATGACATGTATAATAATAATTTTGTTCTATTATTTTTAAAGAATAAAGGGAATAATTATGTACACATGCATTTATGGGAGAAAAATGAATAAAATAGAAAATTATACATTGATTAAAATAAATAATAATTTTTATTTATTAATTAAAAACAATTTAAAAGAAAATATGTATTAAACATAGGGATGACAAAACGGGCTAGTTTATCCCGTTTTGGTCCGATCCCGCCTTTGGTCCGCCAAAACGGGATGAGACAGACTAATTCATTATAGTCATGACGAGATGTAAACATTGACCCGCCTTGCAAAAGGACCGTTTGGGAGCTGGCCCACCATAATTTTTAAAAAATTAATTTATTTTTTAAAATCAAAGTTTTTAATAAATTTAATAATAAGATTATTATTTGTTTATCAATAATTCAACATATATATTTCAAGTTAATAATATAAATCAACACATTATTTTAAGAAATTATAATTTAGAACAATAATAAAATTTATATAATAATAAATAATATATAAATAACGTTAAAACTTATAAAATTTATATTTTTTATATTGAAAAATTTAAATACTTATATTTTTTTATTTGATAAAACTTTATATTATTCTCTCCTTGAGTAATTCTTACACCTTTAGTTCAAAAGTATAAAATAATCCTTGCTTAAAATGAACAATGAGTTGATGATGAACACCAAAGACTAGAGGAGCTTATGTTTGAGTAAGAAGAACATTTCATATAAGGAGTGAAATTGAAACTTATTTAATTCTTTTTTTACAATTTTTAACTTCATATATTATTTTTATTATTAACTATATTACAATAAAAAAATAATTTTTTTATTAATTAGGCAGACTGCAGGGATAATCCAACAAATTGGCGAGCTTTGTGAGGCGGGGCAAAGCAAGTTGGCGGGGTGAAAACGCCAACCCGTCTCGTCATATTACAACGAGTTGGCATGTCGGTCTGCTAGACTCGATTCTTTTTATCATCCTAATTAAACATTAATTATATTTCTTTAGTCGGATTATCTTCTTTATAAAAAGTTTAAAAAATATAAAATACATTATTTAAAGTAAATTTTATTTTTTAAGAATTATTTAAAACATGTTAGATCTACTTATATAATCTCTTTTACAATCCTTTGTTTGTAAAACTCATGTTAAGATAACATTTTATTTACAAGAATTTCAACAACTCGTACGTTATATGATGATGTATAATTAAGAGAAGGATGCACATAATTTATACTAATTTCTAGATGGAGAGAGATTAATTACCTGTGATTAATACGGTGATGCACTTAATTTGATGGAGGGGAGAGATTGTACAGTAACATTATAATAGTATTTAATAAGAAAATGGTTAATTAATCATGAATTAATTATTTAAATAAAAATGAAACTTGTTGATTCATTGATGGATTATAATTTTATATTACCACAAATATTTAAGGAATATACAAAGGTATACCATGTTATATCATCATTATTTATTAGAGCATGAACTAAATTTGCACAATGTGTGATAAAAGGTAACATGACATTTCATTTGTCCCATTGTCCAGCAAAAGCAAATATTCATACCAGATAAAAAAAAAGTTACATATAATTGAATAAAAAACAAATATATCTATAGATATTAACAAGAAGATGATAATAAATTTTTTTTTTTAAAATAAGTCAATATAATACACTCCATTAATATTGTTACATCATTTAAAAAATATATGATGTTGCTCTAACACGATCATTCTTGTTTAGATAATATTAATATAATGTTTATGTATATATATATATATATATATATATATATATATATATATATATATATATATATATATATAAATCATATTATTAAACATAATCCTGTCAATATAATATTATATTTTTTCGTTAATTTATTTAAAATAAATAAATAAAATTAACTCTAAAAATAGTAATAAAATTAAATTAAAAAAATCAACAATTAATAAGTCTATATTGTAATTAAGATTCCAATACAGTGAATAAACAATTGGCATCTTACTTTATAATCTAAAAATTTGTTCATCAGATAGCAAAAACAACTTAGGGAATTTTAAGAAATTCTAAGGATGCCCAAGCTTTCATTTTCATTTTTAAGCATTATCTCATCGTTGTAATATTCAAAATTATTTATTAGAACAGGAAATTTAAGGACGCCACAAAGGACATACTCTGTTATTGATTAGAGTGAGATGCTGGCTAAAGTAATAATGCTTTAAACTAAATTTGCAATACACATGATAATGGTAATATACTTATATGACATTTCATTTGCCCATTGTCACTCTACAAAATATATATGATAACAGAGACCAAAAGTAAATATTCATACCAGATAAACAAAACAATTACCTATAATTAATTAAAAAACATATATTTATAGAAATTAAATATACATTTAAACTTTTCTATAAGAAGATGATAATAGAAAACATAACTATACATAACGAATTATAATATAAGAAATATGATACTTTGACAACCCAAATTCATATCACTCCTATAAACAACTCTATTTTAATATTATAATAATAGTTTTATTTTATTTTTATTAAATTATTCTATAGATTATTATATAAATTATTATATTAATAAAAGTGAGTTGTTTGAAGGGTTGTATGGTTTCTGGTTGTCAAAATATCACGACTCATAATGGAATTGCATTTGTGTTTTTCTCCTTTCATGACCTGTTTCAAGTTACAGAGGAGGATCTTCATCCATGCTTCAAATCTGCAACTAGAAGGTTCCCCCAACCCAGATAATGATTGTTGGATTCTGTTGTGCCAATATTTGTGCAGCACAAGGAAGAAGTGTTTTAAAACTTCAGAGGATCCATCCGACACGGTACAATCAATTAGACTGCCGAAGTAGTATTATTCTAGACCTTTGGCTAAGACAGAAATATGAGGAATATAAAAAGGAAATGCTTCATTGGCTAAGTTTCATTGCAACCTAAAAGAACACTGAACTGTTTAGGAGAACCTGACCCTGACAATAAAATAAATTATCATATTTCAACAGTATACTAACACCTTACACTGTGAGATGACTGATAACATTTTCCTAAAGCATTGAACTCAGGTGTTTGCTACAATTTTCCTCTTCTAAAATCCATTTAATTCCTTCTGCTTTACCATTCCGGCGTGATGATCTACCAATTACACACAATCTGTTAGATTAGCTAAAATACAACAATAATTCCAGGATACCCAAATATTAAAAATTAAAAAAAACGAGTTAAATATTAACACTCTTAAGCCAGGCTGCTAATTACCTTCGGAGTTTAGACCCTGACAACAGTAAGTTATTATGAAACTATAAATAGGAGAAAAGACAATATAATGGACCACCACACAAAAAGGCTGCACGAGGAGGTGCGCATGAGAAGGTAAAATCATGAAAAGACGAGTTTAATCAATTATAAACGGTTTATTTACCGATACTCTACCACAACTGTTTAAAAGTGGGCTTTCATGCATTGTGCTTTCATCATGATGGATTCGTTCTGGACCAAACTATTCTGATAGATGAGGGCGTTGATGTTGAGTGAAAAGGCTTCAGAGCAGAGGCACTAAACAGAGTTCATGAATTGTAGCCCAAAAGAAAAGGACATAAGATGAAAGGTAATTTCAATAATTTACTTGTTCCTAAACACGAAATGCAACCTTGCCATTTTGCATGCAGTAGTTACAGAAAGGGTTGAATGTCAGCAATCAGCACCTCAGACTTTTTCGAAGTAAATTCGCTGCAAAAGAAACAATGCAACAGATCGGTAGAATAGAATGATCAGATGCTACAGTTGCAAAAGCTGTAGTGGATGTTAAATATAATACAACTATTTATTTGTAAACAAGTTCCTTGCTTATAAAGTATGATCCCATCACTGGTTCTAGCCAAGGTCAACTTTGAATTTCTTCTAAAACACAATAGAAAAAGGTACCATGAAACCCCAAGAGCATGCCTCCAACTTTCTTATAAGACAGATTTCTGTTCAGACTTAAAATGATCATAATAAACAGGAATAACAACTCAATTCCAGAGAATCACCGCACAATATAACATGTACTGTGCATATATTGAATCGAAATAAAACTTAAAAAGTCTTGTGGATCATTAATTCAATGATCCTGATGAGCTACTCGACAAGGCTGCGAAAACAACTATTCTTTATCACTAGTCCAACGTTTCCCTATTCTGAACTTGAAACAGAAAATTTCAAAGACAACAAAACGCTGGCGACACAGATAATTTCTAGACACGCTGTCACAGTTCGGTGCATAGTTGCCACCAATCTTCTGTGTGAAGCTCTATTGATTATTGGCCGAAAAAAAGAAAAGCTCTACCTTAAGTGAGTAATTATCAGCCTATAAGGAAAGAAACAAAAAGAAAATTACGACTAGATTTAGATAACAAAATCAAGATCCTGAAGCCTGGATCGAATCTTATCCAATGTACCATCAATGGCTAAATCGAATGCATCCTTCTTAGTTCTGAGACCGGGGGAACTATTATGCTTCCTGTACAAGACACTGGGTATCAGCTTCAAAACCCTCTCCCGCAAGGTCCTAACCCTAGCCCTAGGTATCCGTTGCAACACATCTAAAATCTTCAACCCTTTGAACACAACCTCCTCCTTCGGAATAAACACAGAGAATTCCTCAAACTCATTTTCGGGCAAATGCCACCCGTACTGAGACTTCGCCGAAAGCTCCTCAAAGAAAACGGGTATGCACCCGGCGAGTATCGCGTCGAACGTGGAACGGCGCGTGGGAGTGTCCCCGGGAGGCTGCAAGCAGAAACTCGCCTGCAGCATGGGCCGCATGAACCGAATGGGGTCGTGCTCGCAAACCCCGCTGGAGCAGTCCACGATCTCGCACAACTTCTCGTAATAGGAGTCCACGGTGGTATTCTCGCACTCGCTGCGTATGCTGCGGCGGATGTTGGGCGTGGCGGAGCCGCCGCTGATGCCTCCCCCGGCGAAGAGCGCGAGGACGGAGCGCTTGGAACGGCGGGCGCGGGTGAGCCAGGATTCGAGAAGTCCGAGGTTGGCAGGGTGGAAAGAGGTGGGATAGGGAACGGCGTGTTCCTGCCAGGACCACGCGCGGGCCTCGAGCGTGAGAGCGGTGATGTTAAAAAATTGGGGCAACTCGAGAAAGGAGGTGCCCCAGATGGGAGGGTCGTTGGTGAGGGGTTGGGAGAAGTCCAAGGCGGGGCGGGCCATGACGAGAAAGTGGTCGTAGGCCATGTGGCGGGCCCAGATTTGCGGGTTGTCTTGTTGGAGGAAGTGGAAGAGGTGGAGGCCGTGTAGGGCGGAGGAGTTGGATTCTGGGCCGTAGAGGTAGGGCAAGGCGTCGAGGCCCGCGTAGTAGGGGAGGTAGATTGCGTTTGCGAGGAAGGGATCTTGCGTGAGGCATGGGTACTCCAGCATCCGACGGTGGAAGATGAGTTCCAGCATGGAGGAGTCCGTTCGGTACCAACTCCGGGAGCGGTTGTGGGTCTTTTGTCCCAGACCGTGGTTTCCGAGGTAGGGGCATAGGTCGTCCAACATGGGATACTCCGAACAGTTTGCGAGCAGATCCAGATTGAACCTCGAAGGAAGCTTCCTTATGTGGATCCATCGGTTCTTGCATTCCTCCTCCTCTTCTGATGAGCCTGAATTCCACACCGCCATTATCAGTAACAGCGTCAATGCGCACCGTTTCGACATCGGGATCTTACTTTCAACCTCTTCAATCACTGAACTTTTATATTTTTTTCATGCAATTCCAATGGATTCTAATCTAACATCCAACAAATCACAGAATAAGAAACGGTCATGCATTCCAAGATCTTCTTTTATGAGAGGGAGTGATGTGTTTGACTTTGACGGCCACTTCCGAACCCCTTCTGATACGACGCGTTTAATCAACTATCTCAATCTGCATTCCATTGCAATTGCAATAAGTGATTCAAATATGTTCAGTTGAGTGGAACAAAAATTAATACTAATAGCACTTTATTACCACTTAAAAGGGTTTCAAATCTGAAGTTTTATTAAAGTTTTATATTGGAAATGCATTAATAATATTTTAATTCCTGTGCTTGACGATGATAATTAACACTTCTCTTAATAATAACACTGCACATATAACCATATTTAATCTCATTTTAGTTTCTAGTGATTAAAATAAATATGTTTTTAAATTATGATTTAAACATTTTTTTTATATTTTGATCTCTATTATTTTTATTTTTATTTTAAATCGTAAATAATTATTTTTGCTATGTAACATTCTTTAATCGCTTAAATAAAATATTAATTGACCATTGCAAGTGACACTTTTCACTGTCTCAAAATATAATTTTACTGTGTGACATCTAATTTAAATATGTTTAAGGTCACTATACTATCTTCATTTTACTATTTTAATTTATCAATATTTATTTTCCTATTTTGATCTCCAAATTTCATTGCCTAGTAATTTCAATAATATTTGTTGATATAATTAACCGAATGTCACGTTATCCCTTGACACATCAGAAGAAAAGAAATCAATAGGTGTTAGTGAGAAATCTATAAAAGGATCCAAAAAGTGAAGGGAAACAAAAAATCGAGAACTATATAAGAGATTAACAAGTCGATGCAATTGCTAAAACAAAACCTGGTAACGTTAAGGATATCGAGAATCAAAAGCAAATCCAAAATTCTCGAAGTTGTGAAATCTAAAATCGAAGGAAAGGCTAATATACGTGAATATCAAAATTTTTGCTAAGAAGAACGGTCGACGTATACATCGAACATAGTAAGCGGTAGCAAAAGTCGAAGGTCAAGGGAGCAGTTACCTCATTCATGGGAACGTGGATACAGTTTCTAAACCGTAGAGCTAGGAACAAAACTGCAAAAGACGTGCACAGAGAACGTGGTAGTAGTCTTCGTTAACTGCTCTTAAGAGACTACTTAAAAAGACACTATAAATAAAGCAAAGGATGAAAGGAAAAGGGAGCAGAAAATTGGCAGAGAACAGAATCATTAGTGAGAAGTCTACCGGAGAAACGACGAACATCATGAAGCTTCTGACAATCTGGATTTCCATGCTCATTGAGTACCTTTACCGTTTTCTGTATTTTCCTTGGTAATTTACTTTGATGCAATTTATCTTTAGCAATTTTATGTTTCTGTACTTTCGATTTTTGGTCATTTCGATTCAATGAAAGTTAAGTTTCCGCGTTTAAGTTTTCTTGTCATTTAACATTAATGCAATTTCGATTTCCAAGTTATTTATACTTTCTGCACATTTGATTTACCATCATTTATACTTCCTGTTATTTACATTTCTGCTGTTTCGATTCCCTGTCTTTTATACTTAAAGTAAATTTAAGATTTCCGCATGTTACGTTTCTTTGCAATCTAATGTTCAGCACTGCTTTTCGATTCCACGAATTTTCTGCTTTCTTTCCTTCGAGCACTTTAAATATAAAACACCAAAAATAGTATCTTTGAAATCGGGCAAAATTCAATCTTCATACGCATCTCGATTGAAAATTAATTTGCTAGCCTAAGTAAAAAGAACTTATGTGGTAGAATTTTGATTAGGATCAAAATATCTTAAGAGTCGAAATGGATCGAAATTCCACCAGAAACAAATTGGCGCGCTAGGTAGGGGAAGCCTTGTGTTAAAAACACAAAATTGGTTAGTTCGAGAGTGTATGAGACTAAGGAGTGGACGAGTTATAAGCATGAGTCAAAATTCATCAAATAACCAGAATAACAGTGAGGGTCTGAATGGTGTACATTCACCAAATACTGGGGGGCAAAGTCATAATGGAAGTATGCCTGTAACAGCGACAACTACGAGTATGTCGATACCTGTGGGTAACGAACAAAATTCAGGCACCTTAACAAACACCCAAGTAGGATCTAATGCGGTGGTACCAAATAATATGCAAATTATAGGAAACCCCACAACAACATATGTAGGGCCATATATGAGTGTAAGACCGCCTGAGTTTTCGCTTAATAATACGAGCGGGGCTGGAACTTCTTCAACACAGCGGAATTCGAGATATAACTTAGGAATGCCTCAAACACTGGGCATGCCCCAAAATTTTGGAGTCCCTCCGAATTTAGGGACATCTCAAAACTTAGCAATCCCTCAGAATTCAGGAAGTGGACAGAATTTAGGCACACAACAAACGCTTCCAAATCTAGATCATAGAGGAAATCTAGATCATAGAGGAAATTTGGAACATGGAAGATATATATTCGATAGAGATTATCATCGATCTAATTTTGAGACTATCGAAAACACTGGTACTGGGATATCCAGTAACTCATTAGGGATACTTAGACAACAAATGGATGAGAGCAATTTTGAGATGGTGAATATGTTGTCACAACAGTTGACTACAGTCCTAAACCCATTAGTTCAAAACACTACTGCTAGTTTTGAGATATTAGCAGACCAAATGTCACGAATCGGGGATGCATTGGCTGTACCTCGACGAACAAGGGTAGAAAATCATGCTAACCAGAATGCTAATATCAATCCCCCATATCTATTAAGGAGAAATCGAAACAATGATCAACATCAGCATACGGGGAATGAATACCAACAGATGAGAAACGATATTTGTGGGAATCTGAATGAAGGATTTCAAAATATGTACAATCAGAATAACATGCAGTATAATCACATGTTAGGACAGAGGATGAATTTCCAAGGGATGGAGTTTAGACCACCCAATCAAACATACTTTGTGTCTCCCTTTCCAAATGCGATTCTTGAGACGGAATTACCTCGAGGATACAAAGTACCTAAATTCACCAAATTTGCTGGAGAAGTTGGTGAATCAACTATCGAGCATGTAGCTCGATATCTGATCGAATGTGGGGACCTAGCGATGAGCGAGGAATTAAAAATGAAATATTTCCCTAGTTCTTTGACTAAGAATGCGTTTACTTGGTTTACTTCGTTGCCACCCAATTCGATATATAATTAGCTGCAACTGGAAAGAAATTTTCATGAGCAATTCTTTAGAGGAGAAACTCAAGTGAGTCTCATCGATTTGATGAATATAAAAAGATACAATCACGAAAGCATAGATGATTATTTGAATCGATTTAGACTAATGAAGTCGAGATGTTTCACTCAAATTCCTGAATATGAATTAGTTAAAATGGCCTCTGCAGGCTTAGAATTCTCGATTAGGAAAAAGTTAGTCAATTTACAATTGAATGACATGGCTCAATTAGCTGATAAAGTAAGAAGAGTAGAACAAATTGAGTATGAAAAACAAAGGTACAAGAAATATGAGAAACCCATGAAAAAAGAAAGAGTAGCATATATAAATGATGTATATGAGACAGATCCCATGATAGAAAATGATATTGAAGAAACTGTCGAAGAGGAAGTAAATATAGCAGAGCTCAAAGTAGGGGCTCCATATATCTGTAAATTGCTATAAAAGAATGAAGTAAAAGATAAAATGGCAAATCGAACGTATACTTTCGATGTGACAAAGGTAGATAAAATCTTTGATATTTTATTAAAAGACAAACAAATTAAGTTGAGTGATGACCATAAACTACCTTCTACAGAACAAAGGAATGGTCAAAAATATTGCAAATTTCATAATATTTATGGACATTGGACTAACAATTGCATACATTTCAGGAATACGATTCAAGATGCGATTGACCAAGGAAGACTAAAATTTGAAGAGATGTCAATGAAAGTGGACACGAGTCCATTCGAAGTTCAAGTGGGGTATATTGAATCCCAAACGGGCATGACTGAAGATGTCCGAGTGATGAATTCTGCTTTTATAGGCATGGTCGATGTTACTGAAGACATTGATCCCAAGCATGTCAGAATGGATGTATGTGAAGAAGATATTGAATTCGATTTGAGTGAATTCGAAAAAGAATTCGAGAGGGAGATTTATCCTCGATCAGGAGATTCTCTCATCGAGTTTTTAAACAGAAAGCAAGGAAAAGATGAAGATGTGTCGTTATGTCCGCGATGCGGCGCGAGTCTTCGATAAGTCAGTTGCTAAGGCTTTCGAGTGGAACGAGATAAAGAAAATCGAAAGTCGGAATGAAAGGAAAAATGACAAAGTGGATCAAACAAGCCAACCAACGATCGGAGAAAGTCAACGAAATTCGTTGGTTACGGTGTTAGTGAGAATCAAAGACGAGTGGGTTAGAAGAGAGATGTACCCTTCTCGAGGAGGAAGAGGCAAACTCCGGGGTAATGATGTCTTCGAGAGGCTGTCGTACGATGAAGGGTCGAATACTAGATTCTTAACATTCCAAAGGCGATTCCGTGGAAGGCCACTGGAGAAGAGGAGGAAGAATCCCTTCTTGGAATAATTACGAAACTTTGAAGAGAACAACATATCAATGGGGGGCCAATATGCAAGAGATTATTTCGACGATAAGAATGAAGGTAGGCTGGGATGAACATCGGATCGGGGTGATATCGATACTACCGCGGAATATGTTAATGAATATCAAGAGTACCAAGAACGAGTGATGTTGATCGAGAAGATGACTTTTATTCGGAAAACATAAGGCCAAAGGTAACATGGGTTGCACAAACATCATGTGAAGTACCTCATAGAGATCTTGCTTTTATTGATCCTCCATCGAGGAAATGAGGTTCCACACGAAGCCCCTACTGCTGAATATCGAGATTCAAGGACAAATGGTGAATAGAGTCCTTGTCG